TGTCCTCATAGTGTAACAGGTGGCTCTAGCCACATAAACAACCCACTCATTCATGCTGTACAGGCCAGAGAACCTGTGTGAATGGGGCATTTTTTACTTTTTTTTTTTCCTCAGCTCATTAATTTCAATGGGCTGTCTAACATGTGGGAACATGCAAAAATACTGAAGGCATATTATTTTAAAAGTGTGTTGCACCTAACCGCACAGTAGTGTGGTGCCATGCATTTTGGTGGCTGTGAATGGGTCTGTTTTTAATAGACGTGTGTAGGTGCAATTACGTTTTCATCATGGTACTTGTGCACATCTGCAAAGGGCATTGCATTTCTTTGCTGTGCTGGAAAATGTGTGTTCTTGCATGCGTTTCTGCACCACCAATGGTGTGAACAAGTCCTAAGGGCCAGTTCGCACTATAGAAACAGTCTAGATGTGTTCCTGATGTGTTATTGCATGCCCTTTTGGCATGCATGTTTAGTGTGTTCCAGTACATTTTGGATGCATTTTGGACACGTTGCATTGCATTTGTATCCCTTCCAGTTAGTTTTTTCTACTTTCTTTTTATCCAATTTAATTAGGGACATGTGCATTTTAGTACATTCAAGGGCGTTTCAACGCGTTCCAGTACAGTTCTGTGCAGAAACAATGCAGCGTGGTCAACTTTGTTTATAGCACCTGCAATGCACTGAAAATGCAAGTGCTGATGTGAACTATGACATTGACAACCGTATAACCTTCTTTCTGTGCGTTTGTGATGCCAAAAAAGCAACTGAAACACATGTAGTGTGAACTGGCCCTAAAGGTTATTAGAGGGAAGGGAACGGGACTGACCAGGGATTGTGAAATCAATCAGACTAGTGGTGAGATACAATCAGCAATCGTATAATAATGTGAGATCTGAGCTGTAGCTGATAGAAAATGAGACACATTCACTTAATCAGTAAATAAATAGTTAAAAAGAGTGGGGCGTGATCCATAGATTTGCATATGGGACAAGTGATGATGGGGTGGGGGAGAGGGTCAAGTTGTATAAGGAGACAGGTTTAAAAGAAGATAAAAAAAAGTTACAATGAAATATACACAGCATGAAACTTCCACATTTCCAACTTGTCAGAAGAACAGGACGCGATTTACCCCCTTTCCACTTTTTAGTCATTAGGCAAAGTCTTAATTGATTGATTAATTTATTACTGGCACAACCCCAGAAAATTGATCTCCATTTTTTTTAACATTCATAAATGTCAAGGAGCTTATAATCTAAGGGCAGAAACTCAGCCATGTACTAGGCCCAATTAACCTAACAGCATGTCTTTGGAGTGCAGGCAGAAACACACCCATACAGGGAAAGCATGCAAACTGGGATGCAGCCATGGCTGGGATTAGAACCCATGACCCAAGTGCTGTAAGTTCTGAGTTATAACCACTAGGCAACTGTGTGAGACAGAGTTTGAGCTCCAATGTAGAATAGTTACATTGTTTAAAAATAATAAAGCGAGCGCTGGTCAAATTATATAGACTACTAAAATGATATTACACAAGATAAATATAAATCTAGGTATAGATTTGAAGGTAGCAGCTAGCACTCAGGGTATTGGCAACAGTCCCAGAATAGAAATATATTAAAGTAATAGTGCAGTGCTATAAATGCATTTTATCAATCATAAACGCATGTAAAATCCAAAAGTGCAATAATTTCTTTCTTTCAGGTACTTATATAGCGCTATCAATTTACGCAGTGCTGTACACATATATTGTACATTCACATCAGTCCCTAACCCTCAAGGGGCGTACAATCTAAGGTCCCTAACTCACATTCATACATACACATACTAGGGCCAATTTGGACAGGAATCAATTCACCTACCAGCATGTCTTTAGAGTGTGGGAGGAAACTGGAGTAATCAGAGGAAACCCACGCAAGCACAGGGAGAACATGCAAACTCCATGCAGGAGGTGCCATGGTTGGGAATCGAACCCATGACCCATTTATTGTGCCGCCGCCCATTAATGATGATGTAAACTGGTAAATGGTGCTAAAAAAAAGTTCATATAATCATTCCTGAATAATGGAATGTTCTTCTTGTGAGAGTACCAACTCAGAGAGTGCCTATGAATGGCAAGTGTGGTTTATCCGTGACGAACAGTAGTGCATGAACTCGTGAAATGTAAACCATCCTTGGGATGGGGTGTACTACACTATTAAGCACCTTTCTGGCTCCTGTGGCTGAGCTAATTTCTCCCCAGGACCATTTTGGCACCCACCCTGATGGATGGATGGAGCTGGATGACTAACCCATAGCTGCCAGCATACCGCTGCACCCCCAGATGTGTGATGTGTATAAACCCATGCGCATTAATACTTTTGTTCTGGTGAGTGTACACCAGTCCCACGGGTGGTTTACCTTTCACAAGTTCATGCACTACTGTCCGTCACGGATAAACCACACGTGCCATTCATAGACACTCTCTGAGTTGGTACTCTCACACGAAGGACATTCCATTATTCAGGAATGATTATATGAACTTTTTTTTAGCACCGTTTACCAGTTTACATCATTATTGCAATTGTTTGCACTTTTTGGATTTTACATGCGTTCATTATTGATCACATGCATTTATAGCACTGCACTATGACTTTAACATAGAATAGTTACATGATTAAAGAGAAGGAAGCTATATCATTATATTGGAAACTTAGAACTAGACATTCCAAATTATTTGAGATATAAGTGTGAAAATGTTTAACATTTGAAAATAGAATGTATGACATTCTTAAGGAAATGCATTAGTTGTCTGATCATTTTGGAGAAACAGCAAAAAAAAAAAAAAAAATAGGCGCAAACAGAAAAATGCCAACTGGACAAAGCCCGCGTTTGTGCGCCACCTAGCGAACATATCCGGTATTGCACCTAAAAATGTGCCAGACGCGATTCCACATTTACTAACAGGAAAGTAGACGCTTTTCAATGAGACTGCTAGACGCCTCTCAGAAGACTGACAGGTCTTAATTGATTTAATTGAGTCTGCCTGAATGTTCAAAGTCTGCTGGTAGACTCAATTCTTAGTAAATCAGGGCCTTTTTGTTCACATGAAAAAAATCTGTAGTTTTTGCTGGGAAATTAATTTAAACCCCCAAACATATATTTTTTTAAAGCAGACACCCTAGTGAATAAAATGGTGGGTACTACAATTTCTTATGGCACATAGTACTCGCGCAGCGATTTTTTCACAAGCAAATTAAAAAAAAATTACACTTTTTTTACTTTTAATGCACAAAAACACAATATATTGGCCAATTATTTGGTAAAATATAAAATATGATGTTATTCTGAGTAAATAGATACCAAACATGACATGCTTTAAAACTGCACATGCCCCGCGCAATGGCGACAAACTGCATACATTTTAATTATCCATAGGCAATGATTTAAAAGCCTTTAAAAGCTGCCATTTTAGATTTACAGAGGAGGTCTAGTGTTAGAATTACTGCCCTGACGTGCACGGTGATACCTCACATGTATGGCGCAAGCGCTGTTTACATGGCACAGGGTCAATGCTTGTGAACACAGGTGTGTGCGCATGGGAGGGGCAAGTTTTTTTTTTTTTTTTAGTTTTTTTTTAAGTTATTTTGATTTTTTAATTATTTTTACACTGTACCTTTCATTTTTTTTTTTCATCACTTTTAATGCTATCATAGGGAATGCAAATATCCCCTATAACTTCAATGGGCATTGTCATATATTCTTTTTTCAGAAATCTGGGGTCTATCAGACTTTAGATATCTCCTCGTCCCTTACATTATCTAATCAAACCAAAATCGGTGTGATCAGATGCTTTCCCAAATAATAAATGGCGCTCTTTATATCCTGCGAAACTGAAATGATGAAATGCTCGTAGCTTCCGATTTCTTAGGCTATAGAGATGATTGGCACCATTCTGGTCTCCAATCAGCTCTATGGTCAGCTGGCAGAAACACCGGCTGCATTCTCAGGTTCCCCCGATAGCGCGGGACTGCCAGAGAAAGCCTTGGAAGGCAATGGGGGAGGGGGGCATTATCTCCCGCTGCTTGTAAAAGCAATTCTGCAGCTAATTAGCCACTAGGATTGCTTTTATATAAAAGCCGATCGCTGGCTGAAAAAAATAATACCAGGATGATGCCTGCAGCTGTAGGCATCATCCTGGTATAACCATTCAAAGTCCAGTGATGTACCAGTCCGTTCTTGTCCTTGTTAGGTGTATATGTTATGTTCTTATTTTTTTTGTATGCAGCCTGTGGACTGAATGAAAAAAAGAGAAGAAATTTCTGCCAGAAAAATTGTGTGGTATGCCCACCATTAGAATATACCACCCTGCATCCACCCACTTTTAATGGTGGGCACACATTAGGTCACACTTTGCCACATGCGCCAGTTCCAAGATTGTACAAATGTCTAAATAGTCGCACGCTTGAATAAAAATTGTCCACGTATAAGTGGTACCCCATATGGAAAAAGGATGACACCAAGTCCCAAACTATCTTGCCACTGCTCCCCATGTAGTCTGGGCATCCGGGGGGCTCCACATGACTATCTTTTCCCTCGTAAAAACCAAAACTTATAAGTATAGCCTATTGGGCTCTCACAGATCTTCTACATCTTGACCCCATGTCTGGCACGCTTGTTGGGGATAAATTGTTTGAATGCAAGGTGGCCAGAAAATTAATCAGGGACTCATCAGCGCAGATGTTTTGCTGGGGAGTATAGACATCTGCAAATTTCTACGCCTGGCCATGGCAGCAGAGAACACGGGATATGATGAATCAGGTCTGCGAACCAATACAACCGCAATTAATTTTTTTAGTAATGCCCATGTTGAGGGTTAGGCCCACAAAAAAATGTAAATTCGAAACCCGTAATGAGTTTCCATGAGAATGGTCTGGCAAGGTTTGAATTTGGGTTGGCGGCGATAAATTGTTGTGCATATAAATTGCTTTGATCCACAATCAACGCATACAGATATTCCGTGAAAAACAGCTCCAAAAATCAAGGGGAGTAGTTAAATTTGCTTTTTCCACCTGAATTCCGTGTTTGGTAATGAATGGGGGAAGTACAGGTGCTGCAGAATTTGTGGGCTGTCAATCGGGATTGGCAAGCACATCCGGAAGGATACTAGGCCTGTGTGCGAATTCTTGGTGGTTGCGGGACAATACTTGTGCTCGCCACCTCACCAGCTTGTACTGGACTTATGGGACTCGCAATGTCACCAAGTCATACTACAGTGCTGGTATTATTATTATTATTATTATACAGGATTTATATGGCGCCAACAGTTTGCTCAGTGCTACAATATAACGGGAGACAATACAGCAACAATACAGTTCAATACAAGAGGGTTAGGAGGGCCCTGATCCTGGGAGCTTACAATCTAAGAGATATGTGAAAGACCCAAGATTTACTAGACCGCTGGTGCTCGCCAGTTCACCAAAAGGTAGCGTGGCACTAGTACTGGCACTCTGCTGCATATGAGAGTCATCAAAATTTACCGACAAGTGCTAACAGAGATCAGGCCTGATTCTGCCAACACTGCGGTTTTGTGTGCAATGTATCAAGTGACAGTGACCTACTGACACTGCAGTTGCTGGGGGAGAAGGGGGGCGTAAGCGTAGGAGCTAAACGCAGGCGCTGATCCCGCTAACGTTGCATTTTTGGGGGACGCTATACTAATGTGAATGCTGGTATAGTGCTGATCTGATCAGAGATATTGATCCGTTCAGAGACTATACTAGCAATGGAGGTTTATTGTGTATGAGCGTCTTCCTGGCAATCAAGGGGTTAAATGTGATGACTGGTGTACTGACGGGCAATCTGACGCTATCTGGGAGGTGCTACTACTAAACCCTTGTAACATTAACAGAATTATAGATATTAAAACAGTAGGGAGAGTAATTCCCAAGTATCCTGGTAATAGTAAGCAAATAGGTATTCCCCCATTGTGGAATGATGACAAGGAACTCCATTTCTACATTAAAAGAGAAGTGTGGACTCCCCCCCCCCCCCCCCCCCCCCCCCTTCATTTATACCTACCTAGGTGGATGCAGCATTGGTCCGATGCTGCATTTTTCCCCCGCTGGCTTTAAGTGTGAGAACTCAGCGATCACATGACTGCTGAATGCTGAGTTCTCACAGCCATTCTGGGCAGAGAGTGTTGCTTTGCTACCCCCAATGCTCACTGGAGCACTGGGTTGTGGAGGGGGGAGGGAGTGGCTGTCTCAGGCTCTCAGTGGCTCACTCAGTGGCTTAGCCAGGTGCTGCTTCAGACTCTGGGATGGACCCCGACTTTGAAGTCAGGATCTTTCCCCAGGCAGGACTGGTTGAGTGACGTCAGCCGACAGTGGGCTTCAGCCTGCTGTCAGCTGAAATCAGGTTACAAGAGTGCAGAATGAGCTGCACTCCTGTGATACACATTAGAAATACAGCCAAAAGAGCTTTAAACTACATACTGAGCTCCCCCTTTGGTTGTAACATAGTGTTCATAATTGAGGAGACGGGCTGTGTGCACCCCATTGTCCAAAAGGAGGTGAAGTTCATATAGATGCATGTCCCACTATACAGGTGAAACTCGAAAAATTTGAATATTGTGCAAAACTTAATTTATTTCAGTAATGCAACTTAAAAGGTGAAACTAATATATGAGATAGACTCATTACATGCAAAGCAAGCCGTGATTTGTCATAATTGTGATGATTATGGCTTACAGCTCATGAAAACCCCAAATCCACAATCTCACAAAATTAGAATATTACATGCAATCAATAAAACAAGGATTGTACATAGAACAATATCGGATCTCTGAAAAGTATAAGCATGCATATGTACTCAGTATTTGGTTTGGGCCCCTTTTGCAGCAATTACTGCCTCAATTCGGCGTGGCAAGGAAGCTATCAGCCTGTGGCACTGCTGAGGTGTTATGGAAGACCAGGATGCTTCAATAGCGGCGTTCAGCTCTTCTGCATTGTTCGGTCTCATGTGTCTTATCTTTCTCTTGGCAATGCCCCATAGATTCTCTATGGGATTCAGGTCAGGTGAGTTTGCTGGCCAATCAAGCACAGTAATCCCACGGTCATTGAACCAGATTTTGGAGCTTTGGGCAGTGTGAGCAGGTGCCAAGTCCTGCTGGAAAATTAAGTCAGCATCCCCATAAAGCTTGTCTGCGGAAGGCAGCATGAAGTGCTCCAAAATCTCCTGGTAGATGGCTGCGTTGACCCTGGACTTAATGAAGCACAGTGGACCAACACCAGAAGATGACATGGCTCCCCAAATCAACACGGACTGTGGAAACTTCACACTGGACTTCAAGCATCTTGCAGTGTGTGCCTCTCCATTCTTCCTCCATACTCTGGGTCCTTGGTTTCCAAATGAAATGCAAAAGTTGCTCTCATCAGAAAAGAGGACTTTGGACCACTGAGCAACAGACCAGGTCTGTTTTTCTTTAGCCCAGGTAAGACGCTTCTGACGTTTGTTGTTCAGGAGCAGCTTGACAAGAGGAATACAACATTTGAAGCCCATGTCCAGGATAGTCTGTGTGGTGGCTCTTGATGCACTGACTCCAGCCTCAGTCCACTCCTTGTGAAAGTCCCCAACACTTTTGAATGGCCTTTTCCTGACAATCCTCTCCAGGCTGCGGTCATCCCTGCTGCTTGTGCACCTTTTTCTTCCACACTTTTCCCTTCCACATAATTTTCTATTAATGTGCTTTGATACAGCACTTTGGGAACATCCAACTTCTTTTGCAATTACCTTTTGAGGCTTTCCCTCCTTATGGAGGGTGTCAATGATGGTTTTCTGCACAACTGTCAGGTCAGCATTCTTTCCCATGATTGCGATTCCTACTGAACCAGAATGAGAGATCATTTAAAGGCTCAGGAACCCTTTGCAGGTGTTACGGCTTAATTAGCTGATTAGATTTGGACACTTTTAGCCTAGAATATTGCACCTTTTCACAATATTCTAATTTTCTGAGATTGTGGATTTGGGGTTTTCATGAGCTGTATGCCATAATCATCGCAATTATGACAAATCACGGCTTGAACTATCTTGCTTTGCATGTAATGAGTCTATCTCATATATTAGTTTCACCTTTTAAGTTGCATTACTGAAATAAATGAACTTTTCCACGATATTCTAATTTTTCGAGTTTCATCTGTAGTTGAACTTCATTAACTGTGTGGAGTAGAAGTAGCATCTTGAAAGTTTCCATAGTAAGAAAGGAAAAAATATATTAACAGTCCTCATCAAACCTTGAAACAAAATATCAAGGATCAATGAAAAGATCCAACTGTGATCTTGCCCAAGGATCTGGACTAAGAAGAAGGAAGAGGCACAAGTCAAAGTGCCTCTGTATAACAAAAGTAGTCATCCTCTTCATGGAGGTCTGGCCTTGTGCTTGGCCTTGCTTCTGGGGGAGCTCCATACTGCAGAAAGAGTAATCTGAGGAGATTTACCAGGATAGGTCTATAGTTGTGTAGAACGAGGTGACCCTCTGGGGTCATTATCGATCAAGCCAAATTTTTTCAGTAAGGGTTCGCCTTCATGAAAGGTGCCCCCCCACATGTCACACTGCCCCCCTCCTGTCACATCGCCCTCACCTGTCACATTGCCCCCCTCCTGTCACACTGTCCCCTGCCCTTCACATTGCCCCCCTCCTGTCATGCTGCCCCCCACACTTGTCATGCTGCCCCTCCACCTGTCACACTGCTCCCCCTCTCCTGTCACACTGCCCCCCCCATCTTTCACACTGTCCTCCCTCCTGTCACACCACCCCCACCTGTCACATTGCCCCCTCTCCTGTCACACTACCCCCCCATATTTAACACTGTCCCCCATCCTGTCACACCGCCCCCACCTATCACATTTCCCCCTCCTGTCACACTGCCCCCCCCCCCCCCACCTTTCACATTGCCCCCTTCCTGTCACACTGCCCCAACACTTGTCATGCTGCTTCCCCAACTGTCGCACTGCTCCCCCTCTCCTGTCACACTGTCCCCCCTGCTATCACACCGCCCCACCTGTCACATTGCCTACCTCCTGTCACACTGCCCCCCCACCTTTCACTTTGCCCCCCTACTGTCACACTGCTCCCCCACTTGTCACATTGCCCCCCAAGCAGTAAAACTACCCCCAGCTGTTGCACTTCCCCCCACCTGTCACACTGCCCCCCTCCTGTCGCACTGCCCCTCCACTTCCTGTCACATTGCCTGCCTCCTGTCACACTGCCCCCCAACCTATCACACCCACCCCCCTCTTGTCTCACTGTCACCTCCCTTCCTGTCTCATTGTCCCCCACCTGTCATACTGCCCCTCCTGTCAACCCGCCAGCAGGGCTCCTAAAAACTGTATAAAATAATATAAAATAAAATAGTAAAAAAAAAACAAATATAATAAAATAGTAAAAAATAATAAAATAAATATTAAGTAAGCATAAATCACCAGCGACAAAATTAAACAAAATGTTTGGGTGTGTGCAAACCCACACCCAAAAATATACAATACAAACAGCGCAAAAATAAATTAAAAAAAATATATAAAATATATAATGTGTTTCCCTCCAAAATATTATATCATGACATATATAAATAAGTATAAATAATATTGATAAAATTGATAGAAAAAAAGTCCCACTCCAAAATAAGTGAAAAAATGTTTAAAAAACACAAAGTCCTCTTTTCAAAGAAATGTGCTTCCACGAGGAATAGTGCTCAAACAATATATACCGCACTCCCCAGATAATGGAGAAAAAAAAACGCCTTTTAGGTTTTATTTTGGAATCCTAGACCCAGTTGATATGCCTCCAGATCTCCACTGCACCCAAGAATAGCCAACCTCCAGGATCACCAGACTCCACTCTCCAAGAACGCTCAGTGCAATGTAGGGAAAGACAAAATAATTTAGCGTAATACTGCAACACTTGGTTCAACTCAATAATCAAGTAGCAAGCCACTCACATTCTCAATGATAAAAATCTGCATTTTATTTACATAAGATAAATCCAAAATCACCACAACACCAGGGTAGTTTCCAGAGATCCCGCAGTCAGCAGCAGATGACAGCATAAAGAATCTCCCATACACAAGATGGCCCCCGGGAACACCGCACGCCAGCATGCGTTCCACTCACCGGAAGTGACGTATTATGTATGGCAGCGGAACCGGAAATGCGTCAACGTGTTTCGCCCCTCCTCCAGGACGTTTTCACAGATAAAATCAAGTCAATTATCTGGTGCGTGTGGTATATATTGTTTGAGCACTATTCCTGGTGGAAGCACATTTCTTTGGAAAGAGGAATTTCTGTGTTTTTTTTAAAGATTTTTTTCTCTTATTTTGGAGTGGGACTTTTTTTCTATCAATTTTATCAATATTATTTATATTTATTTATATATGTCATGATATAATATTTTGGAGGGAAACACATTATATATTTTTTATATATTTTTGCGCTGTTTGTATTGTCTAAAAAAATAAATATTAACAACTACTAA